CCCCCCCCACTTACCAACAGGAGCCTGGGTCCAGGTCCCTGCAGCTTGCATCGCTGCTTGCCCCACACGGGCAGGCAGTGTGCTTTAGCACCGGGGCAAGGGCCAGCCATAGAGATGCTTTGGCTGGCTACCAGAGTGTCTCTGTGGGAGACCGAGCCTCTGGTTGTGTCAGGGTCTGGGCCTGTGCCCTGTCTCTCTTTTTCCCCCTGCGTTTTTTTTGAGCCCTGGATATTCAGGGGTCTAATTTTGCCCCCGTGTTGCAGATTTGCAGCTCGGGGAATGTTTTTTTTTTTGTTCCCGCACATGCCTCTTGTAGCGTCTCAAATGGCTTTGAGACACTGCAAGATGCACGTTCGTGTTTGGGTGGACGTGTGCCCCATGTGTTGATGGGAGAGAGAGAGCTTAAGCTTTAAAAAAGCTTTGATTATTTCTAGTGTTTATATTTGGTATCTTCAAATTCAGTGTCTGAGGATTTAAATACGGTCTTTACTTTCTCTTATTTAGTAAAAGAAATAGAAGCTAAATGTGCTTTGGTTAAACAGGACCATGTTTGTTCATGATTCCACTTGACTCTTAAGTATAACTTTTTAAATATATATTTTTTTCCTAGATAAAAGAATGCCACAAACTTGCATTTTAGAAGCAGAAAACTTTTAAAACAGATTAGAAACTAGCAGGTTTCTAGTATGTGTATACACAATGTTTTCTCTTCTCACATACATTTTTACTAGTAGATTAAGCTGCGGTACGGCCTTGTGTTACTAAAGCTGCTTTGCTTTACGTTCTGATGAGCACAAAATAAAAATCCAGAAGGTGCAATTTAGATCAGTAAAGTGTTACTGATCAGGTCTAACTACAATTTCCAATGTGAAATCATTTCACATGCATTTTCCTTGGCTTTTAGTTTGCTTACCTACTTACTAACTTGAAACCGTATTGCTGTGAGGTGGGCTCTGTACTCATTAGTATAAATTAGTGAAGCAGAGGTGTAAGTATAAGTCTAGATTGTAGGAAGTGTAATGTGAGCTGCCAAACAAGCTTGTTCAGTTGCATGGTTTGTTTTGACTGGCATCTGAAGCTCAAATATGCTTTTTACTCTAAAAAAGAAAAATTGTGAGCAGCTTGTTTCAGTGTTTCTTTCCTTAGGTCCTTGTCCAGACCAACTGCTATAGGATGGCATAAAAGTTTTTTTTCTTAGGCAGATGCTTCCCCTAGCATAGTGACACTACCAGGATTGTCAGTCTCATTCTGCCCCACGTGGAATTGCTTTGGGAAACCATTAGGGCTGTGCGAAGCTTCGGTCGCTGATTCAATTCAGCAGAGATTTGACCCAGTTCGGTGGCCGAATCTTTGAATCCGAATCGAATCAGGTGACCCTTTAATCTCTCTTAATCGAATTGGAACCCTCTGAATCGATTCGGAGAGATTCGATGATTCGGACGTAGACACAGCTTTAAATGTTTTTTCTACATACCTCAAGGTACCGGGTGGCTCATGAACACTGAGATGGTGGGGAGGATGGAGTGTCTCCTGGGAGTTTTGGGGGGGTGTGGTCCCCAGCATGCTTGGTAGTGGACCAGAAGCACTTCCAGTCGACTTCTGGTTCTGTCGCCGAGCATGCTGGCCACCCCCCCGCACTCCTACGAGACGCTCCATCAGCCCCACCATCTCAGTGTTCACGAGCTGTGCTTGGTACCTCGAGCTATGTAGCAAAAACATTTAAAGCTGTGTCTATGGGTGAATCGCTGATTCTCTGAATCGGCATCAAATCTTCAGATTCGGCCGAATCAAAGTGGGACAGTGATCCGAATCAACAAATCGAATCGCTGTGCCCTGAATCGGACCGAATCTGAATCGAATGTGGCCCGCTTCACGCTCCCTTAGAAGCCATGTGTGGAAAAGTAATGCTAGTGATACTTTCTCCTGTGAGATTGACCCACAAGGTTTCTTTTCAGTAGAAAATAACTCTAATCTCTTTTTCAATTGTAGCGTCTGGGTTAAGAGGAGAAGGCAATATTGATTGATTCTCTTTAAATCTTTACAGGCTGAAGATCCCAGCTTTGCATCTCAGAGCCGTGTGTATAATGATATCGGGAAGGAGATGCTGCTGCATGCCTTCGAGGGCTACAATGTGTGCATCTTTGCTTATGGGCAGACTGGAGCTGGGAAGTCCTATACCATGATGGGTAAACAGGAAGAAAGCCAAGCTGGCATCATTCCACAGGTAATATAACTCGCAACATTTTGAGGTGTTTGATACTCTTAACACCCTTTACCTTGCATTGATAGTCCACAGAAAACAAATCTTGCTTTTCAGGGAGGAAGCATTGATCTGTACATCTGGTCTGCAAATGTCTTGACCCAGGGAGTTGATAGCGTCTAGTATAACTGACCATGTTTTTTGTCCAAACTAGTAAGTGACTAGCATGGTATAACAGACCTGGTTGCACATGTTTCTCAGCTATCTAGAAGTCTGTATTTTTGAAAGTAGAGGTGGGTACTGTAAATTGTTTGGAGGGCGTATAACTTTCAGGCAATTAAGAGAAATGTTAAGAAGAGTGACTCAAATTTAGGGGAAATAAAGAAATCAGTGCAATCATAGAATAACAAATTTTAAACTCGGTATAGAGTACTTAATTTAGTACATGCTCTTTCCAATTCTTTCTGCATCCAAAAAAAGTAACGCTGAGGAAAGATTTCACGTTTTGTTTTTTTTTTTCCTCTTCTGATTGTGGCCAGGCGGTACAGGAATATTAGGATTCTTACTGGACAGGAAATGGCATCGTTGATGATACTGCCAGAAAAAGGGGTCTGGAGAATATCTAGTCCAGTAATTCTCAGTCAGGGTGCTGCAGTCATGGGGTGCTGCACAATGTTAGCACTATTGGGTGTATAAACATAATTTACAGTACAAGCCCAGAGATTTTAAATACTTCAGATATTTCAATCCCCAGGGTCCTGACGTTTGAGTGAAACGCCTGGACCCTGGGGATTGCAGTTTGTGAAATCCCTAGGGTTCAGGGGTGCATGAAACCCCCAAACCTCTGGGGACCATGGATGCCGTGATCCCCAGGTCTCGGGGCTTTTACGCTATGGTTAGGAGCTCTGTCAACTGACAGGGCTCCTAGCCTCAGGGGAGACATTGGTACACATGCAAAATAAAGTTTAATAGCAACCAGCTATAAAGTTAGTACACATCTTCGAGGTCTAACTTGACAGCTGATTGGAGGCTTTTATTGTGTCATAGCTACTTTGCTGGTCTCCAGGTAATTGTACAGTTAACAAGGTAATCGCCCAATACCTATGATGCATACAGGGGACCTTAGAGGCTGCATATAGGTTAGCTTTAAATAGTACTTGAGAAGAAGTTACTTATACAAATGTATAGTATATCTAATAAGAAAGGTTCTTCATATAGCCAAGCACCTTTATTAATTTTCTCATTTTAATGTGTATTTGGGCTTAGCCCTTGAAGTGGATTAGAGCAGCTTGGTATTTCTTTGCTGCTTTACAGAGCAGCTTGGTGTACATTGTTTTTGTAAAATTGGAGATTTTCATATTTCATGTTCGTTGTTCCCCAAATCTGTGCAAGTCAGAGTCCACGTTGAAAACAGACCAAACTATTGCTCCTGCTGTCTACTACAGGCTCTTACTAACCTCCTGCAGAGGATCAAACGCAACTATATGCAGGGATAACATTATTTTTGTATAAATTATACTCGCTAATTCCTGTCCTTTCACTTGAAAAACATACAGAAGGTAGGGCAGGATCTGTTTCTATACGAATATAGGTCTTTAGAGGTGCACTGATATATCAACCCATATTGGATCAGCACTGAGAAAAGGAAATTTGACATTATTGGCAATCGGCTTTTTTTGGCTGGTGTAGCCGATAATGTCACCAATAAATGCCACGTACATATGCGCAGCTGCAGCACGAATGTGGTGAGGAATGCAGCCTGGCTTCTTGGAGAGCAGCATCCGGCCAGTAGGTTGGGGGGGAGGGAGGCAGATTGAGGCCCCCGTGGTGAGGGACGGAGTGGGACTGGGGCAGGGGTAGGTGGTGCCCAGTTGGGGCGGTGCATGGGGCAAAGCCATGGGCTGCTCATCTGCATGGCAGAGACTGGGGTAGTAGCTCCCAGTCGCTGTGTGTGGGGGCATGTGCCCCCCAGACTTATGCTCAGGGTGTGGGCGGGCTGCTGCTGTGAGCTTGGGGCTAGGGGCGTTGCTGGCCTCTTCCCAGCAGGGTCTGGTCTGGGGCTGCACTTGGGGCGGGCAGTGGTGGCGCTGGGACAGGGAAATACGGGGTACAGCTACCCCAAAATTTACCATAGTTCCCTTGTAGCTCCCCTCCCAGTGCTGCTGCCGCCTGTGCTGCCCCACCCCTGCCTGTTTTGAGAGTAGCCCTGGCCCAGCCCCCCAGCCCTCCCCAGGAAATGGCCGGTGTAGCTCCCAAGCCCACAGTGGGCATCCTGCCCTTGCCCTGCACACAAATCTGGGGGCATGTGCCTCCCCTGGGGGTCCACGCAATGGCTGGGAGTTGCCCCACTCTGCCCCCCAGATGAACCTCCTGCAGCTCTGACCCACGCCCTGCCCTGGCTGGGCAGCCCCTGTCCCAGCCCCATTCCCACCCTCACCATGGTGGCCTCTATCTACTCTGCCCCCATGTGCGTTCCCAACCCACAGACTTACTGTCCGGATGCTGCTCTCCAAACTGCTGGGCTGCACATCAGCAATCAGATCAGTATTGGTATTGGCCAGCCCCTGGCTGGTTAATTATCAGCCATCACTATTGGCCAAGAAAATCTTTATCGGTGCACCCCTATAGATCTTTGATCTTGTATTTCTGTATGTTCAGGAGGTTCACTTATTTGACAACCCGTAACATATCTGTGTGGAATTGAAGATGTCTTAATTTTTTTCTGAGTTAGCTGTTCAGAGGTCGCAGCCTGACCATCTTTGGGCACTTGCTATGCTGCTATGCATTTGGTGTGAAATTGCTGTTTGGGTACAGATAGCCCTGAAGGCCTTTTCTGTTGTCTCGCTACACTTGTAGTGTCCTTTGACATCTACCCATGTCATATGCTAATTCAGTGCATGTAGCTTCTTCCTGTCTTATCTTCTTATCTTAATTCTTAGGTTTGTATTTTGCCTATTTTAAAGCTAATCACATTTGCAGAGAACACGATAAAATCTGTTCTTTTTGGGTAGCCAGTGCATCTTTTGAACAAGCATGTTCCTAACTGATTTTAAACTGTATCCAGTAATTCACTGAAATCTAATTCCTGGAACTGTGTCAAGCAGACTAATGACTCTGAGGATTATTTCCCTAAAAATAAGCAGCTTTTTGTTTTGTATGGCTGCATGGGGGAGGGTTTAGAATTTATAATTATGCCTCTCAAGCAAAACAGGTTAGAAATTTAGTATTTTTAATTATGCCTCTCAAGCAAAACAGGTTAGAAATTCTAATTTCAATTGTTTTAGGATGTCAGTTTTGTACAGAGTAATTTTTCTGACTTTGTGGTGGATTAATACCAGTTCAGCTTGGTACAGTTGGTGAAAGAGAAGAATGAATAAATAGCAGGCATAAATACAGTGATTGGGAATAGGGATTAGCTGCATTTCCACTTGGTACTGTGTAGATGTCATTAATGTGGCTCTTGGAGTGGGGAGGGGTTGGAAGGGAGAAGAGAAGGAGTATAGATTGTGTCGCCATAATTATTTTTCATTGTTTATTAGTAATTCTAATTTGAGCTTAATCTTTCCAGCTCTGTGAAGAATTATTTGAGAAAATCAATGACAACAGCAATGAGGAGATATCCTACTCGGTGGAGGTGAGTATGGTGGGGATTGTGGCATGTTCCTGTGCTGCACATAAGCTTGGTGATCTGAAGAAAGCACTGTTATTGGCATAGTTTCCTGATGCTCTTGAACAGATTTCCTCTTCTCTTTCACAGCTGACAAAAATGGGTGAACAAAAACTTTTCTTTTCTGTGGGATTAGTACACCTGTCTTAAGGGGACTGTAAAATGATTGCAAGGCTGAAAGCCTGACCGTGAACCTGCAGGCATTTTTGTCATCATTGGTTGGGAAATCTAGTCGGTATACTTTCTATGAATTGCTTTTAGTCCAAACTTTGAATTCTGTTGGGTGTAGGGCTAATTTAGATTACCCGATGTTGCAGATTTATTTTGGAATCTCCAGTTTCTCTGCTGTTAAAGTGAAGTCCTTGGCCACAAGTGGATTAAGGCCATAGTTGCTAGAGAATGTATGCTATAAAGCCATATGATGGATAGAAAAGGAATATTGCAGCTTGAATTCAGACTGAACAATTTTGTTAATTCTAGGAACAAGGCAGTTTCCAGGCTGCAAGCCAAATAAATGGTTAGGAGGTTGTGTATGTTCACAGTTGGCAAAGGATTAAAATTCAGACTATGCAAAACAGCAGATATTTTCTTAGTATTTAGACATACCTGCTCATTTTATTGTTAAATAGGATTAGTATTAATTAGGCCTATTAGCCCTGGTAAGAACATAAGAAATGCCACTTACTGGGTCAGACCATGGGACCATCATGCCCAGTAGCCTGCGTCATACAGTGGCAGAGAGCAGATGCTGAAAGAGTGAACTGGATCTGACCAGGTTTTTTTCCACTGTTCTTCTCTCACTTGCAGCTTCCAGCATTTAAGTTCTAAGAAGCTCTAATTCAGACCCTGTGTCTCTACCCCTGTGCTCAATAGCTACTGATGCCTCTTTCCTCCAAAAATTGTATCCAGTCCCTTTTTGAATCTGGCTAAATTGTCAGCCTTCACAACACCTGGTGGCAGTGCGTTTCACACTTGAATTACACACTGTATGAAACAGAACTTCCTTTTGTGAGTTTTAAACTTGCTACCTCCTCGTTTCATTTTGTGACCTCTAGTTCTTGTGTTCTGAGAGAGTAAATAATAAATCCTTATTTTCTCTCTTTGTCATTTAGTGTTTTGTAAACCCTTATCATGTCCTTCCTCAAGCGTCTCTTTTCTAAACTGTATAGGCCTAGTCTCTTTAGTTTCTTTCCTCATATGGAAGCCCCTCCATACCACTAATAGTTCTTGTTGCCCTTCTCTGTACCTTATCTAGTTCTATATCCTTTTTGTGGTGTGAGGACCAGAACTGGGCACAGTATCCAAGGTGTGAATGCACCATGGATTTATAAGGCGGCATAGTGATACTTACTGTTTTGATTACAATTCCCTTCTTAATAATCCCTAATATTTTGCTTGCCTTTTTTATGCCTGCTGTACACTGGGCCTCTGATAGAGGACCTTGTCAGATGCTTTTTGAAAGTCCAAATATACTGTTTCAGCTGGATCACCCCAATCCACCTATTTATTGACACCCTCAAAGTGGTGGTGTCAACGCAGCTAAGAGATGAATGAGTAGGATTCTGCTTACCAAGTAGACTTGCTAGCCAAGTTCTGGTTGAAGACCTTTTGGTCCTAATGGTGATGGTAGACTGAAGCATAGCTTGATTTGCAGATTGCAAGACATTTAGGAAAATCACTATACCTGTAAACTAGAAGGATTAAATATGGTATCACTGGGCTGGTCTACATGTACAATTAATGCATACGAATAAACTCTGGGGCTTATTGCTCTGGAGTGTTTTGCTCCCAGGCACACCATTTGAACATGCACTCAGGAGCAAAACACTCTGGAGCATATTGCTCTGGAGTTAATTCGTGTCCAGTACGTGGATCCTGGTTGGAGCAGCCTGGCCTGGCAGGGGACATGGGGGGTCAGCCTGCCAGCCCAGGGCTGCTCTCATGGGGGCTTCATGTGCTGCAGACAGGCTGGCTGAGGCATGAGGGTGCTTCAGCACGAGGCTGCCTGCCAACTGGCCCTGCACTAAAGCACCCTACTCACTAGCCAGACAGGGCGGCATCTACATGTGCACTGCTGTGTATGAAAAAACTCCTGCAGGGGAGTTTATTAGTTTTGTGTCCCCTAATAGGAGTGCACATATAGATGCTGAGATATTTACTGCGCAGTTAATTAGGCAACTGCATAGTAAACGTCTCGTGTAGATGCACCTACTGAGAACATTTATGGTACTACACCTTGTTGGTTTTTGTCAGACCTCTGAGCAGATCCCATGTTAAAATTGGGTTTGTAGCTGATTCCCTTTAAACATTATACTTGTTTGAAACAGCTTAAAATCTGTTTGCAAGAGGAATTTGAGCACAGTAGGCCTTTCTTAATAGATGGCAGTCCTGTGACTGGGTCCACAGTATTAAATGATGTCTTTTGATAGTTTCCTGGAGTCCCTTTATCAACTTTCATGGCATTTTTCCTCATCAAAATACCATTTAAAAGAAAAAAAAAAAAAAAAAGGAAGAAAACCCACTAAAACAAAAACTGGGACCTTTTTTTTTATAGTCCTACAAGTAGAATAATATGCTTCAAACTTTTAAATGAAGGAATCAGATTGGAGCCAATTGCCTAGTTCTTGTCTACTTTTACTGTAAGAAAACGTGGAATGCCAACATTTAATTTTTACTGTTCTCTAGGGCTGGAAAAAGGATGCAGCTTTGTTTAGTAGAACTGATGCATTTAAGAGGCTTTTTTGAAGCATCAGGTCATTTTGGGCTCTTATTTTAATTGGAAGGAGAGTGCCCTTGGAGGTCTGAAACAATACATGTGAAGGAAAAGATTGATGATCTGTTGTGATGCAAGGATCTTAGGATAGACATGGGACCAGTTGGAGAAGAGAATTGGGTCAGAAACTATGATCTAAATGTTAAAATAAAAAAATCTCCATAAGCGATTTGATACACATTTGTCTCAGAGATGTGATTTGCATTTAGACATTTGGGATCCTCTTTTTGCATTTCTAAAACAACTGCTTCCATCTGAATTCTTTCCACAGAATGGAATTTACCATCTCTTTTAATATTTAATATCTTGCATGCGGAAGTCACTAAGTACCTGTTAGATTAGAATAAGTTTGGTTCCCTGAGAAACATGCAAATTAAAAATTATTCATTTTTTAAAGTGCCTTAGCTTTGTAATTCTGCTGCAGAGAGGTGCAGAACTGAAATGTAATGAGAGTTGTCTTGATTAGCTTCTTTTGGAGATTTGGGATTTTAATTTGCCCTGAAGTGTACACTGATAGAGATTCTAGAGAATGCAAAGTAGCTCCTTCATGAAAAGACAGGAATTTAAATTTCTTCTTTTAGGGCCAGAAGCAAGATTCCTTGAAAGCAAACTCTTTTCCCTCCTTTCCATGTAACAAATGAGACTGAATAATAAGCCCTAATGTTATGTTTCATTGCAAAATTGCATTTGTATAAAGCCCTTTATGCTATAAATTCTCATTTGATCATCAAACTCAAGTAAGTAATAGATTGCAGTTAGGCAGTACAGTTTCTGAAAAGGTGGTGGATATAATATTTCAGCTGACCTTCTCAGTTTGAATCAACCAAATGGGTAGGTGTGGTTGGGTAAAGCACAGATAAAGGAACAAGTTGGTGATAGAAACTGCTTTGGGTGGAGGGTTTGCAGCTTAAATGAGATCTAAATTGTGACATTGCACTCCCTTTCTCCTGCATGTATCACAAGCTATTTGGACGTGGTCTTTATGTTATCATTGCAAAGGATCAAAAGACTCCTTAACAGAGGCCCTAGAAATGCTGCAGAGCATTTCAACAGACAAAGAGAGCTTCAGATGTTGTAAATCACCCATGTAAATCTATTTGCAGGTAAGTTACATGGAGATTTACTGTGAGAGAGTCAGAGATTTGTTGAACCCGAAGAACAAGGGGAACTTGCGTGTGCGAGAACACCCTTTGCTTGGACCCTATGTGGAGGACCTGTCCAAACTAGCGGTGACCTCTTACACAGACATTGCAGACCTCATGGACGCTGGGAACAAAGCCAGGTAGGTTATGATACAGCCTGTTAGCTGGTGGTACAGTAGTTTGTATTCTTTTGTGCGGATTCATTGGAACGTAACTTGGGAACCTGTTTTGTCATGTCTTTGGTGCACATTGAACTCACTGTAAAAACTGCTACAGGAATTAGTCCTAATAAGAAGATGCATTATGCTTCATAAATGCAAGTTGGATGTCAACACATGAATATTGTAAAATGGTACCACATTTTACTTTTGTCTTAAGCTTGCAGGAATTTGTGATAAAAATATGCTAGTAATTGCACTGCCTTGTGGTGCCCTTTACCTCCAGGCTTTTCTGTATGCAGATACAGTGATCTTTGCATAAATGCCTCGCAAAAACAAGCCAGTTAAAAACAAAATCCATTTAGAACCAGCCTGTCGGCTTTATTCTTTGATGGGTTAATCCATAAAGCAGGTTGTAGGGAAGGAAAGGAGAACATAACTGGAGACAGCAGTAGATGGGGGTTGATACTGGGAAGACCGATGAGTGCTACCCTGACAGTACTTGGTTGAAATTCATTTAATCTTCCTGAATCTTTATTTGCAGCATGGAACTGACTTATTTCTTCGAAACAAATCTCTCTCTCTTTCTAGGACTGTGGCAGCCACCAACATGAATGAAACCAGCAGCCGCTCTCATGCTGTGTTTACGATAGTCTTCACTCAGAAGCGACATGACACAGAAACTGACCTTTCTACCGAGAAGGTAGTTAGAGTGGGAGCGTTGGGGGTTGACTACCACTCAAGTCGTCCCTGCAGTGACCTGTTGTTTCACTGGAGGAGGGAGATGGAACTGGAAATTTGACTGTCATCCTAATGTATGATGTTTTGGATGGGAAAGAACTTTCTTATGTCTTATCTACTGCTTTTATTGCTGGCTTTTGAAATTAGTTTAGTTTAACTGGGGATACTGACTGGGAAGGCCAGGAACATAAGAGTAGAACAGGATATGGAGGCACAGAGGATGAGGATCCATTAAAAAAGTCTAAATTAAAGTCGGATGAAGACTTATGTCCTTTCTTGAACACAAACTTCTGTTTCTGCTTTTCAAGGCCTAACTAATTACTGCCTCATGAACTCTCTTCTGCAGCCTCCCTGGTTTAGTGAGGGCTTAGGCCCAGCATTGCCAACTCTACTGTGCCAGAAATCATGATACAAACACTTTAAAAAAAAAATCAAGATATTGGCATGTAAATCATGAGATGCTGTGTTTGGGAGGCTGGGGTGTGTGTGGAGGTGTAGGAGGCTGTGAATGTGTGTGTGTGTGGGGTTTGGAGCCTGGGGAGGAAGGGGCCCCGCCCACCCTGGCAGGATGCAGGGTACTGTCGGTCAGGAGTGAGAGGCAGCAGCAGGACTGGGGGGGCTGTGGCTTGGGAGTGGGGAGCCAGAGAGAGACTCACAGAGCCACCCGCACACAGAGACATACTCGGACAGCACCCAGCTGGTAAGTGGAGTGGGAGGGGTGGGGGGGAGAGATTGAGGCTTCCATGATGAGGGAGAAAGTGGGGCAGGAGCAGGGGCTGGGGTGAATGGGGCCCAAGAGCTGGGGTGGGTCACCCAGAGGTACCATTACCACTTGCCGAGTGGGTAGGGAATGTGTGGCAGGCTGGCTGTGCAGCACATCCCCTGCTCACCTGGCTGCAGAAAGCACGCTGGCATCGTGCGGCTGAGCTCCTGGAACAAAAGTAGCAGGGTGCAAAGCCCCGAGCCTGCAGCAGGTAGCCCGCCCCTGCCCTGTAGGGGGCATGTACAGCTGTGGGAAGCCATGCTGTCCCTCTCTTCCTCACTGTGCCCCTGTGCTGGCCCCCCCACAATCTCTGAACAACCCACCCTGGCTCTGGGGCCCCATTCACCCCAGCCCTTGTTCCTGCTGCCTCACTCCCTCCCTCACCATGGGAGCCTTGATCTCTTTCCCCCCTTCCCCTCCACAGACTTAACAGCTGGGAAAATCCAGAGATTTGAAGGTTCAATCGGGAGATCATAGGGGTGCACCAATAGAGATTCTGGGGGCTGATACCAATAGCAGATTTTTAAGGAGGCATATTGGCTGATACCGATCCAATTTTCGATACGCAGCCCTGCAGCTTGAAGAGCTGTGTGCAGCTGATAAGTCTGTGGTGAGGGAAGGGAAGGGGCATGGTGGGGGCAGATCAAAACCCTTGGAGTGAGGGAGGGAGTGGGGTTGGGGGTGGGGTGTGGGATGGATGGAGCTGTGGCTCTTCTTGCGGGGGGGGCCCCGGCCCAAACCACATTCCGGGAAGAGCCCAGGTCAGCTCTGGCACCAGCCCGCAGTAGCAACCCACCTGGCCAGTGCCCTGCACTGATCCAGGGGCATCCTTCTCGCTGCCTGCATACTGTGCTGCAGCTACGCGCATGCACAGGCATTTATTTGCCAATTTATCAGCCACATCAGGCCGATTTCTAATACAGTCAGTTTTCTTTATATTTGTGCCAATCTGGTATTGGTGCACCGCTAGGAGATCATGAGTTGGAGTTATTTTGACTTAGAAATCCTGAGTCTCCCGATGTTTTTGCAACTGTTGGCGTTACTGTTAGGCCAGACAAAATGTTTGCCTATTAAATTTGCTAAAAAGCAGCACGTTCTGTGTGAGTAGAGTAATTTCACTGGTCTTGCTATTACTTTGACTGATGGGGGAATATAGAAAGACTGTATACAAAAGTGGCAATATAAGTCTGGCATCCCTTTCATATGTCTCCCTACTCTGTCTCTTTGAATGGATCATGGTTTGCCTGTATTGACACAACCAGACTTTTCCTCCTGATTTGGATAGGTCAGTAGAGCTATGGGAGGATAACTTATATTCTGTTATTTTTGCAGCTTATTCAATTCTTTATTAATGTCAGAATAAAGAAAGAGCTGTGTTATATTTTTATAACACAGCTCTTTCCTTTCATGTCCCAAATTTTGTTTATAGCAGCAGCGGTTAAATTCTTTTGAGGCATAATTTGCTCTGCAAGTCCCTGAAAACCCATGAGACCACACTTTTTTATTTTTTGGTAGGTTATGTGAGATAGTTGCACTCAAATCAGGATGTGATTTAGGATGGTATTTATCCCAGTGTAACAGCTCTGCTACCTTGAGGCTGATCACCAGTGGATACTTTGGAAGGCTGCAGAGTCTGCAAATTGTGGCATCAGACTTATTTTCATTTTGTTCCTATTCAACAGGAGTTGGCTTTAACTATTGCTGTATTTCCTTCTGCAGGTCAGCAAGATCAGTCTTGTAGATCTGGCTGGGAGCGAGAGAGCAGATTCTACTGGTGCCAAAGGGACTCGATTAAAGGTAGTGGGGACTGTTGGGGTTGAGGGAGGAAAGGAGAAACTGGTGTAGTACTAGTCTGGTGATTAAGAATGCTTTTTTGCTCATTAAAAACTGAATTGAGGACAACATTGCTAAAACGTTTAAGAGCTTTAGTCCCAATATCCAGTGATACCGTGGAATAATTTCTTAAACTTTTTAAGAAATCTTTCCATTGCTGGACTAATGGTATCTATCACAACAGCCTTTTGTTCTTGCATATGATTGCTGCTATGAGAAAATGGCTTGCTGTCTGTAACTAAAAGCTCACTGTTTTCAGAAGTCTGTAGTTCATTTGATTTCCTGCAATTTTATCTTGTATTGGGAGCAATTAAAAGGAAGAGTTAAGACGGCATGAAAAAAATGGTCTTTCTGGGTTTGCTTTTAACGATCTAAAAATGTTAGTCATGCCTCAACTTTTTTGTGTCGTAGATTGAAATGTACATTGAAGTATTTCTTCAGATTGGTAACTAGGGTTGTTAATGAGCTTGAGAAAGGTACCTCCACTAATTTTGCCAGTCTGAGAAAATGACTGTGTTAAAACCCAAAGGATCATGGCATTTAAGTCATAGTGAAATCTACTTTGGGAAAGTCATTGCTACAAATCTGAGAAATTTACACCAGCTAGGATTTACCTCTGTTGGTCTATTATGTCTTGTTAAGAAGTTCAGCCAGTGTTCTTTCTTCCTCTTTGAACCTGGAGGAGTCCATGCCTGATCAGTATGAAGCACCTTATGTGATCCTTTTTTCTAGGAAGGGGCAAATATCAACAAGTCTCTCACAACTCTGGGGAAAGTCATTTCAGCTTTGGCAGAGGTGGTAAGTACATCACTTAATTTGTCCCATGTGGAACCTATTATTTTTTGCAAAGCTCTCAGAGCTTATAATATAGCACTTTGAGACAGCGGAAGACTGGGTAGCCCAGCAAGGCCCTGCTGGACTTGTCTACCGTTGGCTTCTGCATTAATCATCTTTCATCTTTTGGTAGATATAACTGATCCGTGAAGCCCTTAAGTTTTGGTATAAGATTGCTCACACCAAAGCAGGAATACTGGGTCATTTAATCTGGAAAAAGCCTTGAATTGCAAATTCCTCTCTTTATTTTTTTTTAACTTGTAAGCAATGAAGTCTACAGATAGATGTTTCCTTGCTGAGCTTTGTCATGATTTTTTTTGGAAAAATAAGTAAATTATCATCACAAAAGAGGAACTTGATGCATACTATTAAAGTGGTGGTTTTCAACCTTTTTCATTTGCGGATCCCTAAAAAATTTTGAATGGAGGTGTGGACTAGGGGTACACCAATAGAGATTTTTGGGGCCAATACAGATAGCCGATATTTAAGGAGGCATATCGGCCGATACCGTTCCGATATCCGATACAGCTGCCTCCAGGTGGTAAGTCTGTTTTGGTGGAAGGGGAGGGGGGAGGCAAGGGTGTGGTAGGGGCAGATCAATGCCCCCTGGGGTGAAGGACGGAGGGGGCAGGGGTACGCGCTGCCCAGGCGGGTGGGGGCATGGGATGGAGGTGCGGCTTGTGGCAGGGGGGAGGCAGCTTCTGCTGCTGCTTGCGTCCGGGCGGGGGGTTTACCCCCCAGATATGCATGGGGCAGGCTGGAGCTGGGGCTGCATGGGACTCTTCTCAGCGGGGGCTGGGCTCAGGGCAGGTGCTGAGGGCACTGGGAGGGGCTACAGCCACTCTAAATTTCACCACAGCTCTGCTCCCACACCCGCACCACCCCATGCAGCCCCACTCCAGGTCCCACCTCCACCCATGAGCTGGAAAAAGCTGAGGCTGTCCCAGGCAGCTGTACTGGGAGTGGAGCTGTGGCAAAATTTGGGGTGGATGCAGCATCCTCCCAGTGCTGCTGGCACACACTCCAAGGCTCTTCTGTTGCTGCACAGGGCTCTTCTTGGCGGGGGTGGGCTTGGAATGGGCACTGAGAGGATGCTGCATCTACCCCAAATTTCACTGCAGCTCCGCTCCCAGCGCTGCCATCAGCCACCCAGCACAGCACCCTCCCCCCGAACGAGCTGCACCTCCATCCTGCATTTACACCCCCTGGGGAGCACATGCCTCTACCCCTTCTTCCCTCCCTCACTGCGGGGGTGTTGACCTGCCCCTCCCACACCCCCTCCCTCCCTCCTCCCCATCTGGCTTACCAGCTGGAGGCAGCTCTCCATGCTGCTGGCTCTGCTCTGTGCTGCACTGCAGCTGCATGCAGCACGGGCATTTATCGGCCCCATCGGGCCAATATCAGATGCAGCAAATTTTCTTTGTATTGGTACTGCTCTGATATTGGACCGATGTATTGGTGCACCTCTAGTGTGGACCCCTTGAATTATCAGTGTGGGTATTCATGTACTTTTGTTTGATCATAGTCATCTTTTGCAAACCCCTTAAACATAGTTTGCAAACCCCCGTGGGTCTATGGATTGCAGGTTGAAACCCACTGAATTAGAGGTTTACTTGACTTGAATGATGGGGGCCCATAGCACCATTTACAGCAGAATAACCCACTGACCAAAGCTGAGACTGTCCTGTCTAAACTTCAGTTAAGAATCCAGTAATCCAAGTGCACTAGCCCAGGCCCACCTAAGAATACTTTCCATTTCCTTCTCTGCCTCTGCTATTGCAGTTGCATGCTGCTGTTGACTTCAGTTATATAGGAAATTCAGCCTGTGGAGCAGTTTGAATAGATAGCAGGACTTCATAATTCCTTTAATTGCTTTTTGGTAGACTATTCTCACTCGTTTGGTTCATCAGAAAAGTAGTATGTATTGCACATTCTCCAAGGTGACAATTAAAATGATCTGTTATGTCTTGTTAAGAAGCTCAACTTGTGTTCTTTCTTCTTCTTTCTGTAATGCTTTCAACTTTAGGATAACTGCACCAGCAAGGTATGGTGGGCCAAAGTAGCCATTGATATTAAATCTTAGATTCACCATAAAGACCAGTGTTGTTCACTTGAAAAGACAAAGAGCAGGGATCTCAAGGGCTTTCATTGCAATTTGATTTTTGCATCGTAGACTGTCTTTAAGGAAATTACAAAATAATCATGGGATGATGAGTAACATCAGCATCGGAACTCAAAATACCTTGGGTAGGGGGGAAGGAGGACAGAGAAAAATGCAGGTGTAAAGAATGTCTAATAGTTTTATTGTATGCATCCCTGCTCCTGGTTTGTTGGTGACTTCTCTTAGGAATAATTAGAATCAGTAGGAATAACTTAATGTCTTTGCTTTCCTGCACCTGACCTCCCATGGTCATTCATTTTGTCTCACAAGCTGCAGTCTAGTTTAGCCTGACAAAATTACATGAAAATGCCATGTGCAGCCCTTGCCTCGCCCTTCTTTCACTTGTCAGTCAAAAGGTTACTTGCCATAGAGGGTAATAGAATTTTCTTTATAAGGCTGGTATTCACAACCTACATAATTTATCATCAAAGCTTCTACTACATAGTCAACTCCTATTTTAATTGTGTTGTATGGAATTAATTTTTGGCAGCATTTGAAGCATTATGCATGTCTACTAATTTTTTTGCATGTCAGTAAATGACAAAACAGCCCCACCCTGTAGAGAGCTTTCATAGGTAATTCCTAAGTGCTTACCTTGGGTCAAAACAGGTTGAAGTGTGCCACAGGTAATGAGGGATAGAAAATATTTACAGTGGGATGTGGAGGTGCAAGTCTAACCTGCCTACGAAGAAGTTGGGGATGGTCCTGCTTTGAGCAGAGGGTTGGACTAGATGACCTTGAGGTCCCTTACAACCCTCATTTTCAGTGATTCTTTGGAACACTCATATAACCTTTCTGAAAATTCTTTACCCATCATTGGACTAATTAATGGATTGGGTGCTTTGAGACTTGTGCATCTGGCTGCCGTATGACCTTGTGCTTTTGTCTGAATAGTCCCCAAATCCTTTAATCAGCAGCCAGTTACAAGGTTAGCTTAAAAAAGGAAAAACCTTTCTGGCTAAGCCTTTCTGTCCTGTTCCAACCTCTTCCCTGTCCTCGCGTTTCCCCGTAATCTTCCTATGTTTTCTTGAGTAATTTATTCATTGTCTTTCTACCTGTGCTCCTTCACATGCATCATTTCTGAATTGCCTTCCTGACTTTCCAGAATAGCTTAAAGTCTAATAGTTTTTCTGCTGGAGTAAGGCTTAGCTGTGGCCTTTCCCCCCTGTAGTAAGTTGCCTGCAGAAATTTGCTGAGATTGGCCCGGTTTTTAAATGTAATCACTGAAAGGTGTTTCTTGTATACAGAATAACCTTTCTTCAGAGAAGCACTTTGATCAAGTCAAGTGGCCTCATTAATACCCTCTACATTCCAACTGTGTACCTGTCAAGTAACCTTAAAATGGCAACCAATAAAATATTTATCAATACTCAAGGAGTGCTGGCTGCAGTGGCAGTTAACATGGATGGGGAAATTAGTTTCCTTTCCAAGTACAGGTTGTTTGGAGTTTTTAATGGTCAGCCACGTTCCCATATAGGAGGGGAAGATTTTTTCACTCTCTATAGCTTCTTTTATCTTGCATCTCTCTGTCCCTCTTCCTCTCTCATGCTGCTTTAAATGTCTACTTATTATTTTGTTTCATTGTATTTAAAGCTAAATTTAAAAAAAGACATGAAACAATTTTGTTGTACAGGCCCTCATTAGTGATCCCATCTACCGTGGGAGAAAAGGATAAATCATTCAAAGCCAATTTATACCAGCTTTCTGGTGCTATTTATATAGTGGGAATGAAATGAGAGGAGAAGTAGGGAAGAAAATCAAGAGAAGAGAAAGAAAGGAGGTGAACTCATGCAGTTTTTGCCTGGTCTGGCTTTCTTCCTGTTGGCAGAAAAAAATTCTGATCCTTTATCTTCACCTTACAACATCTCCCATCCTCTATTTTCATTTCCTTTCTTAACCTCCTCTATCTTACTCTCACTTTTCCCCTTTCTTTCTTAACCCCGATGATCCTTTATCTGCATAGCTTTTTCAATATCTTTTCCACCAGTCAGTATCTGGTTTTCTTTGTATTGTCTGTCTATTTTTACCAGTGCTGTCATCTGCCACCTTCATAATCCTCCCTTTGGATTTGTGCTGTGATTCTTTTGTGTGCATAGACCCTTGCTCCATTTGCTTGAACTGCTGCCAGACATGGACATTGATGGGTCCAGAGTTGCTTCACAATCACTCCTAGATTCTTGCTCTGACCCTGGGGGGCTTGCAGCTTGTGGGAACTTGAACATATCTCTTGCTACTACTTTTTCTAACTTAGTTTTCATTGTATTCAACCCTTCTACACAGAATGCAGCAAAACATTGTTTTTCTATCCCCTGGAAGAGGACAGTATCTAAGCCTCATTTTTAAATAAGATTTCTTGGGGGTTAGGAAAAGCTTTCTGCCGTTTGTGTTTTTCTTTCTTTCTTTTTTCCTTCCTCAGTGACTACTTCACTTGCATGCTCTTCTTTTCAGAGCAAAAAGAAGAAGAAGACAGACTTTATTCCATACAGAGATTCTGTGCTGACATGGCTTCTTCGGGAAAATCTAGGTATGGCTAATTTAACTGCGATAATATACAGTTCATGCCATTTTTCTTAATTTTTTTGCAATTTTCTTTTTTCAGTTGAAGTATTACATTGACATTACATTTGGAAATAGCTAAGTTTAGCAGCCACGTTTGAGCTTTTTTTTTTTATTTAAACCACTTCTAGTGTCAGAAGGTGACCTTTATCTGTTACTTTGCTTTGTGCAGCTTTGTTGAATATTTTGTAATGACATGTTTTAGGCTGGGAAACACTGACCTTCAGTAAAATGACTGCTGTCCATAACATGTAATGCAGTTTCATTTAGAACACTGTGTGTTACAGGTGGGAACTCTAGAACGGCCATGGTCGCTGCTCTGAGTCCAGCAGACATCAACTATGATGAAACTTTGAGCACTTTAAGGTACTACTCTCTAATCTGGTAGGAAATTTATTAAATTGCAGCTCTAAAATTCAGGTTCCTGTCCTTTGTACCATTGTGCAGTAGGCACTGAGAGTATTTGCTGGGTACAGGCCATGCCAAAACCCAGGTACATTAAAAAGTGAACCAGGGGAGAGGCAGTTGTTGCTTATGCTTAGAATTGGCCAGATTAGATTTACTGGATTTTCATGAAAATATTTGCCGAAAAGTGCATAAAGGAAATCATTTTACCCATGGGGAAAGACCAGTTTAAAATGGCTTCACTGGTGACCTCTAGGGCTTGATTTTTTTCAAAGATGCTGAGTGCATGGAGCTTTGTGAAAACCCCTAAAAGGTAAAACAGTAGCTGCAGCTCAGTGTCTAACAGTTTGCCTCCAGCTTTGTATTCCACAGCACTTCTGGGTTTGAGCTAATTTAATCCTCTCATTAGTCTGAAATAGTGGGTGGGAATGTAGAGAGCTGTTGTATATTTGTAAGGCTGGAGAGATCTCAAGGGATCATCTAATTCAGCCCCTGCTCTGAGGCAGGATCACATGTACCTACTACCTAAACTTTCCCCAACAAATTTTAGTCTAACCTATCTTCAGAGATCTCCAATTAAGAAGATTCCACAGTCTCTTGGTGTACATAGCCTGTTCTAATGTTTCATTACTTTAACCAAGTTTTTTTTTGCCTTTGCTGCAAATTTCTTACTGTTTTATACATGCACAGCATCCCTAGGGGACAAGACTAGCACTTCGCTGCTGTACACTTTGACAGCCTATTACATATTGGACAATTTAATGTGCTCCCACCTTCCACTTTTGTCTTCCAGAGTAAATAAACCTAATTCCTTCAACTCTTCCTAGTGGTCACGAAACCATGACATTCCTTTCGTCGTTGTTTGCTCTCCCCTGGACTCTCCACAGTTAATCTGTGTTTGTGTGTGTAGCCTACAAATGAACACCATATTGCAGCTGAGGCCTCATTAATGCTGAGTAGAAGGAAATATACATCTTCTGTATCATATGTATGATGCTTCTGCAAATCCATCTTAGAAAGAGGATATGCCTTTATTGTTTCAGTAGCATCACATGGATTCATTAAAAGTTTGACAGAGAGATGCCTTTCCCTTGTACTTGTACATAGTCAGATATTTCCCATTTTGCATTGGTGCATGCAAGTGTCTCCCTGTAAAAGAAACTAACAGTTTTCTCTGGCTGGTTCTAGATACGCAGATCGTGCCAAGCAGATCAAATGCAATGCTGTTATCAATGAAGACCCCAATGCCAAGCTGGTGCGTGAGCTGAAGGAAGAGGTGACACGGCTCAAAGATCTCCTGCGGGCCCAAGGGCTGGGAGACATTATTGATAGTAAGTGGATTAAATGTATCTGTCTCCACTTTGTAATCTGGGGGCTGTGACCTACTGTGGAAATAAATTACTCGCCTAAGGCCACAGAATTGCAGAAGAGAGTTTGGTCACAGCTAAACAAGTACGAACAGGTACTTTACTTTGCTTTGGAAATGGTGGTCTCTGTCCCCTTTTTAAATAGTCTGTTGCAGAGCCTTTCTTTCCTTTTCTTTGAGGTTGACACATTGGATTCAAACTCTGCTCTATTGTGTCTTGCTTGCAAAGGAAATCCTGGGTATGTTGCCGTGATGTCATGATCCCTTTGCATTGGTCCCTGGTTAGGACCCTTTTGATTAAGGAGCGGTCTTGGGTCACTTTGGAGGGCTTCCCATCTCAAAGGGGTGATAGCATGACATAAAAAGTAACTTTGCAACAGGGACAGAGGCCACCTTTCCAGTCCGTTCAAAGAACATCATCTCATCAGCCCTTACTTGGCTTCAAATGGTGTTCATCAGAACAGAAGATTATGCCTAATCCCTGATACAATTCCTTGAATATCAAAAATATTTGACCGCTCTCTACAATTAGCTGCCTCTGACTGAAATAATATGCTGTTATAGAGCAAAATTTTTGAGGTACATTGGCAGACCTACATAGTAGGAACTTGCACAATGTCTTGTCTAACTGCCTTTGTCAAGATACAGTATAGAATAGTCTCCGAAGAGACTTTTTCTGACTTAACTAATTTTCCTGACCCTTGCCTCAAATTTAGCAAACAAGTTAAAAAGCTTGTACGCTAAATTCTTTGAGGAACTTAGGCTGTGACTTCATTTCTGACAGAGGAGATGCCTTTCAGATCATGATTTCAATTATTTCTGGCAATCGAACCAGCTTGCCATTTGTTCATTATGAAAAATATCTGTTAAAATGTTTCTTAAAAAAAGAATCTGTGTTGTGGGTACTTATTTTTCTTGTAAAGGAAAAGTCGTGGTTTAATTATGGACAGCGTGAAGAAGTGCATTCTTTGCACGTATCTTTTGTCTTCCTTCATTTCCAAGAGAATGGATCAAGAAGACTTAGCTTAAATTCAGAAATTTTCACATTTTGTGCAGTCTTGGTTTTGGGTCAAGCCAAGCCAGGAAAATTTATTTTGATGTGTAATTGAAAATTGTCTTTGTTTTTTCAAATGTCAGTTACTATTCACTTCCCTTCCTGTCACTGTTGAACCTGAACTTTGATCCTTCTTGTATTTTCCCTCCTGCTTCCCTTTAGTTGATCCAATGGGAGATGATTACTCTGGAAGTGGAGGCAAATGTGTGTATTGTGTGGTTCTCTAGCTTTCTAACTTGCCACTGTGCTTCTGCTGGGTCAGCTTTTAGCTGAGCTTTGCATGCCAGCATTCCTTATGGGGAAATCCCAGACAGAACATGTACTGCAGACACTAATGTAGTTTAATGGATATTAAGACAACCTCCATCTCTGCTTTTGAACAGCTCTTCAGAAATGCACAGTTATAACCATTCTTTAATGTATCTGCTACTTGCTGTGGAGGAGATGCAGAGGATAGTAATTGTAAAGCCTGTTTTTTTGTTACCACTAATGGTTCAGACTTGACCTACTAACTTTTTTTTTTTTCCTTTGGCAAATCATTTTCAAGTTATTAAATGCAAACAGGTTTCCATGTCCATGAACAGCTGCTCCCATAATTTGTTTTCTGAACCTCAAAAATGTTTTTCTAATTTTGAATTTGACAATTGGTTAAGCTAAAAAAAAGTGAAAGTGTCCTCCTGTAGAATGAGTTTGATCATTTCTGTACTCATGTAGTGTTGGGTGCCTTCTCACTTTATTTGAGCTCTTACTCTTGCTGGGTATTAGTACAGCTGCTGTATAGAACAGAGACTTGTTTTCCTCTGAAGGAACAGCTCTTAAAAAAACTGAGGAAGATTTACATTGCAGGTTCAGAGAAAACTTTTGGCAAGACAGTGTTTTATTTTTGACTTTGCCATACATTCTCTTGCTCCATAGAAATAGGAGACCTTCCTGCTATATAACCCACCTTCAACAAAATGTTTTGCTTCTTTAAACAGGGGTGGATTCTCTGTAGATTTTTGGTCAAGTCTCAAGTTTTTCTTTTTTTGTAATTGAGCTCTTTTCATCCCACTTTGCCCGTTCTCACCCCAAAACAATGCTGGCTGGAAAAGATCTGTCTGAAATTTCCCAAGTGCAGTTACTGGTGGTGTAAAGACTCAGCCTGGTCTTGCTATGATGTTTCGGTGCTGCTTCCAGCTTGTGCCTAACTCTCATCTGTTTGGAGCACCTGCAGACCTCCGAAAGAAGCATGCATGATATTGAGGGTTAGGTGTTGTATGGACAGAGCAGCTGCCAAAGCAAAGCGATTGCCGGTGCTATTTCCTCTTCCCTAAGAGTGCATGTGCCTACTGGCCTTTCAAGACTGCATCTTCCCTGTTCTGTCCTGCCCATTTGCCTTATTCTGGTGGCTTGTCCCCGTCCTTAACCTCCTCTACTTATTATTGCCTCCACCCCTGCTTCTTATATTTGCAGATGGTGGTTTTCAAACTGACTTAAGAGTTACTATTAGTTCTCTTTGTTTGCAGTGATGGGCTAAGTGTGGAAAGAAATAAGGTGAAAGATTTAAGACAGAAAGATTGTTCAGGGTTGGCGAAAAAAAGGCATTGGTTGGGGTGAGGACTTGGGGAGAATGGCCCAAGCTTCTGGGCTTACTTGTCTAAGCTTTATAAGTGGACAATTTTAATGATAGTTTTATCTGGGGATTGGTCTGGGTTCAGATCAGAGCAGTTACCTCTGAATAACTTGAACAGATAAATCCCATGGCTAACCTGTACTTCCCACCTCTGCAGGAGCTGTCTCCAGGTCTCTTGCATTTATACTTCAGTGTTAGCCTGAAATTCTAGGTCTCTCTTGAAATCCTTTCCTCTGCTCTTTTCAAGCCGTTATGATCAAAAGGCTTAGAATTTAATCTCATGTGCAACAGCTCCTAGCACATACTTGGCCTATGTGCATGCTTTGGTCCTCTTCCTCAGCACTAGTGTAGGGTGTGAAAGACTGCAATATAAATGTGAGCTCGTGCTGTATTCACTCATACTGTCGAAGACTGGGGAGATGGTTAACAGAACCTTTGCCCTTGGTGGAACCTGGCAGCAGTTGGGTTCACCTCCTAATTCTGCTGTGGAGAGGTACACCTTTAGATTGTAAGATTTAGCCAGTAATTATTTGTATTCCTGTTAGGCTTGAGGAGTCTAGAAGGGAGAATTTGGCCCAGAGTAGTTTACTTCCTGATTGGTGGTCACCTCTGTTCCCAGCTTTCAGCCCCTATATTGTTCTCCACTGTGCCATTACCCAGTTGTTGGATACCGATGACACTATAGAAACAGATCAGCATATAGCTGTGGAAGCCAGGAGGGGCTTCTTATAATTTACACAGTGTCTTGGTGTGAATGTTTTTACTTTATTTTGGCAAGAGTTTACTGATCTCAGTAGTGTGTGCTGGGTCCCTTTATTTATAATTCTCAGGGTCTGAGCTGAGCTGCTGTTAGCTTAGTGGTATTTGCTTTAAAGGATTTGTTTCAGAACTGCCATCCGAAACGATTATATTTGTCTGTGTTGCTGCTTAAATGCTTTCCTCTTACACTGGTGTTTCCTTCCTATTTTCCTTTTCTCTGCTCCTTCCCTCTTCCCCTCTTTTCCTCTTCTCCTGTTTTTCTGCCTTCCCTTCTGTCTGTCTGTCTGTCTCTCCCAGATCTGAAAGATTTTCAGAACAATAAACATAGATACTTGCTTGCCTCCGAGAATCAACGCCCTGGCAATTTTTCCACAGCCTCCATGGGGTCCCTCACAGCATCTCCGTCTTCCTGCTCTCTCAGTAGTCAGGTGGGCTTAACATCTGTGTCCAGTATACAGGAGAGAATCATGTCTACACCTGGAGGAGAAGAAGCCATTGAACGTTTGAAGGTACACGTCGTTGTGCACTCAGCTGGATATAATTTTGGTGGGCTTGAAAGCTGCATATTTGGAAGAAGTCTCCTTAGGAGAACATAGCCAGTAGGGCTGTGTGAAATTTCAGCAGCCATTTTGTTTTAGAGGTGTTTGGGCGCCCGGAACACCGAATCCAAAACTAAACGGAAGGCTATGAAACGAAACCATCTGAAATGTTTCGGAAAGTTTCAGAGGTGGGCTTGCGGGGAAACAGAAACTCAGAAGGGGGGCAGGAAGGACTGCTCTGATACTGATATCTGTAACTGGCTGTGTCTGTGATCTGTCCCTGAGGTCCCTTCCGTTCCCAGTGCTCTGGGGAAGGGACGGCAGCCTGCTGTCATCCTTTGCACACATCCAGGGGCCCATGCCTGGGGAGAGTACAACACAGCCCCGCAGCCCTCCTTTAAAAGTGCCGGGAGGGAGATGGGGCTGGGCAGGGCAGCCATGGGGGCTTCTCCTGCAGCCCCCTACACCGGGACAGAGACAGGCACAGCCGGAGGAGCTGCGGGAGAACCTGCAGCCACCCGGCTGTACCTGCCTCTCTCCGGCTGAATCTCCGAATCGGCGCCGAAACAGTGTCGAAACTCCAAAACAGATTTGGCTGAACCGAAACGGAACAGTGATCTGAAACACCAAAACAGATCACTGCCCCTCCAAAATGGCTGAATCCGAAATAGAAATGAAACACAGCTGTTTCGCACAGCCCTAATAGCCAATGCCTTTTCTATTTCTGGAGGTTAACACAGAAGCTCTCTTGCACTCCAAAGAGCTCACCAGGGTGGGATGAGCTAGGCTTTTGGCTCCATGTCTGAACTGTTCATTCACAAAAATCTGCATGAGAGTGTCTTCAGCTATAACAAAAATTGGCAGTAGCAAACTTGAATCCAAGTACGTGCATCTACTGACAGTCTCATATAATGAGGATAATGAGTAAGGTGAGCAGAGCAACTCGGGGTTGGGAGGTAGGTGTTTGTGTGGAGGGGCTTCAGGAGGGTTGTTCAGCAGCTCCCTGTACTAGTCCTGACTTGCCAGTGCAGTCATTTTTAAAAAAACCCAAGTTTATCTAAGCCTAAAGGAAAAGTACAATCCTGGCACTGTTGTCTTTGCCCTACCCCCACGGGTTAGAATGTGAAGCATACAGAAAAGCCTGCTGTAGCCAGACAATGGGAGCCTTGTCCTAAATCTGCATAGAATTGACCAGCATTAAAAATGCATTCCAGCGAAGGGTTTCTTTTCTTATTTTTCCTTTTTTTCTTGTCAACCCTCTCCCCCACGGATGGGTGGGAGGGAAGTTAGGTATGTTAAATCCCAGTGGTTTGTTTTCTTGATTTCTCCATGAGATGCTGCCAGGAGGATTTGAATGGTCTGGAACACACACACGGCATATCCTCCTTCTATTAGAAACCTGCTGTTGCCATGGAGATAATGGTGCTGTCTCTGTAGTCCCCTGACATCAAGACACTGAATGACGTCTGCAAACTAGATTGAAAAAGAAAAATCTCTTAAGGTGGTCCAAATTAAAATCAGAGCCTCCCAGGAAGAGAGTTTTCTACTTTTTCCATCAATATTCAAGGCAACTTCTTGTGAAACACTGTTGAGAAGGGCAGTGCACTCTGACATCTCAAATATTCAAAGTATAGAATGTTTTTGGAACTCAAAGTAGCCAGAGATGCATAGAATTGAGCATGCTTTTACTTGGGCTTTCCAATGGGTAACATGGCTGCTAGCTTTTTGAGAAGGGTCAGGTCTGACCCATCCTCAGGCTGCTTAGGCGAGTAGAGAAATAGCTGTGTATATCAATTCAGAACAACAGAGAGTGGAGAAAGTAAGAAATATATGCCTGTCTCTCTCTTCAGAGAAAAGAAATGGCCTCTTGTGCTACAGCTGGGTGAAGGCAACAGTTGAAAAAAGCCCCTGTGAAAATCTTGCTTGAGAAAAAGCTGCTAGAGTAGCTCTTGGCGTCAGGCTGTAAAATGGTGTGGAATCCCTTTTACAGCGGTGGTAAATGCCACACTGAATCATGCTGATTGTTGTGGAGAGCTACTAATATTCTGTTCAATCCTCAGCACCAGAAAGGAGGATTGAGCCTCCATTCAGCCTTGACACAGTCTCTGAACTGAAATTCTTGGATTTTTGCCAGGGTTCTGCCCACTACTGCAGGAGCTCTAGCTTAAACTTTGCATGAGAGGACCCTGGCCCACTGATTTGGGTAGAAGGGCCTGGGTTCAGGGTTGTAAACTCCCTGTGCTTCCTAGTCTTTGGCTTGGAGTGGAGCTGGGGCCTGGAAGATGGATTAGGAAGTGATAAGTAGCTTATGGGGTGCAGGAATTCATTTTTAATTTCCCTGCCACCCTTGTACGAAGTCTCGACAGTGTGCACATTTTATTGTCTAAATGGGCTTTAATGCTGTTAGAAGGCAAGGATTGCTTGAACCACTGGTTTTGCTATATACCGTGGTAAGCCTTTGATCTGAACAAATAGTCCAAGTCCTTTAGAGAGAGCTTTCCGATTTTAAAATGTTTTTTTTTTTTTTTAATGCAGCTTGAGGTGAAATAAGTGCAATTCTTCTTCCCTTCCCCCATTCTCATTCAACAGAAGAAAAATCTCTGATTTTTTGTTTTTAATGTTCATCCCTGTATCCTTTAATGCAGCAGTGGAGTGTAAGCTCCTTAACTTGCTCCTTTGAATGGCAGGAATCCCTCTTGGCCAGGCCTCTTTATTTTTAATGCTCCTTTTTAGATTCATTTTCAGTCTCCTGTGCAGAAGCTTTCAGACAGATTCTCTAACAATTCCATAACGATTGGGGTATTTGTGTGTGCATGGAGACGGGGAGCTGCATTCCTGAGGGATTATGTGGCTAGAGGAGCAAGGAGATTGATAACAAATGGGACTGGAAAGACTAATAAGATTCCTAATTTTTTTCCCCTCCCTCCACATCAGTGACTTTGCTGGGCAGTGAGCTGAACACGATGTGGTTGGGTACAGCCTGCTATAAAGCTACTTCTGGTAAATAGCTAGTAGCAGCTCCTGCAAACAGTTGTTCAGAACTAACATGAAATACTTTCTTTGCTCATTTGTGCCCTCTTGCCCTTGAGAGCAGCTTTACTGAGTGGGTGTTTGTGAAGGCCTCATAATTGAGGAACAGCTTGGACTTAAATATCAATCTGGCTGATGATTTAGAGTAAACTTCCAAGGCAGAACGGCCTCAAGTTGCAGCAAGGGAGGCTTAGGTTGGATATTAGGAAAAACTTTCTCATTAGAACGGTGGTGAAGCACTGGAACGTATTACCTAGAGAGGTGGTGGAATCTCCATCCTCTGAGGTTTTTAAGGCTTGGCTTGATAAAGCCCTAGCTGGAATGATCTAGTTGGGGCTGGTCCTACTTTGAGCAGGGGGTTGGACTAGATGTGACCTCCCGAGGTTTCTTCCAACCCTAATTTTCTATGATTCTATGAAAATAGCCACTTCCCAAGTGCTGCAATTACGTACCAAGCTGTGTGGTTTGCATAGGCTACTTAAGGCATTTGACTTGGCCTTTTGTGCATCGCGATGCAGCTGGTGTTGGGTATGTGGCATTCTTAACCACAAAACCTGTTGTTTATCTTTGGCACTCATGTTATTTAAATATAGCTCCAAGAATATGTTAGAGGGAATAATGAGTGTCCTAATGGCTTATCTTGATACAGCACCTTTCATCCAGAAGGCTCCAGAGTGCATTTATGAACTGATTTATAGCATTAGCCACTAGACTTCCTTTTTAGCTACCGTGATCTCTAGTCTTCTACAAACAAAAAAAATTGTCGGCAACCAGGAGCTGCTGTCTAGCCTGGCTGTTTGTGTAGCCTGGCTTTTTTTCCTGGGGACTTGAACAGCACCCATTTATGTCTTGATTACATGGCCTTTTGAAAGCTAATGACTCAAAGACCGGGAATTGGCGCCAAATTACCTGTTTGTAGTTAACCCCTGGCCAGCCCCAGACATTGTCTAACCTAGGGAATAGCAGTTCATTTCAGAGGTAGAGAATCTGGATTTTTGTAAGTTGATTCAGGATGGTCATTGCAGGAAGCATCTGGGTTTCTGGGAGATTTATTAGTTTGTTCATAATTTTGTAGTGTTGTTGAGTGGTTAAAATTAGCACTTGGTCACTTACTGCTAGGGTCTAATTCAGCTCTCATGTAGGCCTCAAATACATATCTGCATTAACTTTTCTGCTTTTTTGCTGTGGTAAAGGGTTGGGTCCATATAATCCCTATATGGTCTATTAATTATGAACTTTTATACAGGAATCTGAGAAGATCATTGCAGAGCTGAATGAGACATGGGAGGAGAAGCTGCGGAAGACTGAAGCTATTAGAATGGAGAGGTCAGGAGCAAGAAATGCCATGGGGGTGGGCAGTGGGATGGGCATATGGTAGAAGGAATGAGTCCGGACAGAAGTTGCACTTACCTTAAAAAAAAAACCAAAAAAAAAAACCAAAAACCACACACACAAACAAACAAACAAAAACCAACTAAAGCATAGCAGCAGCTGGCTTCACTGGTGACATGGCTGCTGTTCTTCTGTATTGCACTGACATTAGGTGGGCCATATAGAAAGGGCAATTAGTTTCATTTCCATACTTCCAAAACACTGTTTAGAATAGTTAAGCAAAATAATTCTTCTTAGACACAGTTTTCATCCAAGGTTTGAGTTGCTGGCATAAGTACTTGGGGTTCAGTCCTTCTCTGAAACATGCTCATTATGATATGAAATTGCATTTGATTCTGGCTTTTCTTTTTCTCCCTTTGTCTTTTCTTTATAGCACACAATTTGACTTGAAGGTTAAAGGG